AGATAATAAAAATCTAAAATTAAGTCTGGTATTTTTTACAAATTATTATTCTCAGCCATTTAACAGTAACTCACTGTGGTGTATGATGCGTAAGAAAATATATGCCTTCTTCAGGAATCAAAATGATACGTCTGTTATTTGTTAAAAAAAATCTGTTGCATTCAGATAGGTGAATTTTATTGATTCCAATGGACTTAGGAAGTGATAAGCTCTTCATATTTGTTTAAATAATGAATTACCTGTAATTATCCAATAAAACAATGGAAATGCAATTAATTATGGCTAGCCATTTTTTTTAAGTTTGCATGATTTTCTTGGGAAGAGAAAAGGGAACAATACTGGTTAGTTATTTACAACTGGAAAGAGAATCGGAAAATTATGCTTTAAAAAAATGACAATTGTTATATAAATTCATAGTGCTTGGTGTACTTCATACTACCCATTATATTTTTTTTACCAAAAAAAAAAGGCAGTGGCATGATGATGTCACAGGTAAAACAAATTTCTCTCTAATAAAATGTTTATCATACAGATTTGCATTTATATTTACAGCACAAAACTAATGTCATAGTCACCAGCACATTTCCTATAATTAATGCGTTTACATAGCAAAAGAAATTCACACAAAATAAAACAGGAATGAAATATTTCAGAAGGTGGTAAGACGAAAACAGGTAATTTTCAGATCTGTATATGAAGCCTTGCAGTAGTTGAAGGAAAGTAAGACTCCGCTTCATTGTTTTGACTATATAAGTAATTATATTAGGTAATATTTAGTGGTAAATTTGACTTTAATAGTAGATACTTAACCTATAGGCAGCAGCGTAGCTTCCAAACAGAAGGAACTGGGCAGTTCCTTGCTGGGGATTGCTCTCATGCCTTACTGCAAGCCCGGGGCAGGGGAGGAGGCCCAGCAGCTCACAGGCTCTGGCCTGTGATCCGAGTGCTGGAGAGTTTTGGTGATAATGGAGCATCTTTGGTGATAATCTTCCAAGTGTGTTTAATTCTCGCTGGGGTTCTGCTGGGAGCCCGTCTGCACGGGCGGCTGCCTAAACACCCCCACGGAGGAGGTTGAGGAGAAGTGGGGATGCCAGGAAACAGTCATGCCATAGCAGATCACACGTGTACAGGAAGAGAGAGGTGATATATACATACATAGTACATATGGTGATGTCTCAGCCCAGTTCTCCTCATTAGTGTGACAGAAAATAACCCAAGAAATAAAGGTGTGCAGTTTTGTGCTATCCTGGCCTCTTTTAGATGACCGATAATGGACTATGCTACTTGCACCGTCAGCTTGGTGGAAATTTTAGCATACTTGTGGGACTAGTTTTATTATTCATCTTAGCTCCTGTGTTCCTGTATCTCTTTCCAGATGATCTTGACTTTGACAAAACAGATATATTCATACTTTATTTTATGTAAGAAAAATGGTCTTTCCTTGGAATTAATGTAATGGACAGAATGAAATATATTTAAAATACAATATACAAAATATGAGGGGGAGGGAGATCTAGTTCATCATTCGGGTACTAAGAATGCTCCAAATTTAAAGTATCACTGATGCGAGGTACTGAAAATACCTCCACGGTGCAAATTTGTGTTCTGAAAATGCACAGTTCAAACAGAGTCTACATGTCTTTTTGCTTCTCTGTTTACAGGTGACCCAGCTGGATCCAAATAAATCATTACTGGAGGTAAAACTGTATCCTCAAGAAACCCTTTTCCTAGAGGCAAAAGAATAGATGAAACAAGATTGTAGGACTAATCCCCTTTGACAAACCAGAGGCACGGGACTGGGAGGAAGGCTTCTTTCAAAACCACCCTGTACTATCGTCTAACTCAATTCAGTGTCACAACTTGGCCTCTTGCAAGAATCCTGAAAAACTGAAAAAAAAAAAACATAGCTACGTAAAGTTTCACATCCATGAGTGTATGTTTCCAACCTCGTTTAAATGAGCAGAGGATAAAATTCTGCTATGAACACTGAACATTATGACTCTGTTGCTCACTTACCATCCAGCTTTTGTTATAATTAATGCACTGTTAAAACGTGAGTGATTGTTAAGTAGAATTTTTACTCCTCAAATGCCCCCTTTTGCACCAAGAAATCTTGGACATTTCTGCCTGTACTTTTGACACTAGGATGCTGTATATTTGATATCTCGCTGAGCCAGTGCTCTCCTATATATGCATTTTATTTCTGTGCTTGAATTTCTACTCACCTAATTTAAAAAGGCAGAAAAAATTAACAGGACATTCTCAGCCATGGAAATTTAACAGTATTATAGTAGAAAGCATATACTTTTTGTTAGTACTTTCTGACTTCTTCGATAAGATGTAAGGTTTTGTTTGAAGAATATAGTTTGACATATATGCAAGATATTTATTTACTGGTTCTGCATTGGGTCTCAGTTCTGATTCAGTTTAGGAAGTATTTTCCATTACATTGCAGTATGTGAAACTGCTTATTGCATGATGTGAATATTTAAATAACATTACAAATGGCCAGTACCAGAAACCTGGTATCTTGCCAATACTTCAGGAATCAGCTGATATTGAATATCAGCTGTTAAAAACCTTTCAAGCACCAGATACAAAAGTTCTTTATTTCTCATTGTGGAAGAAATGGCTGTTCCCATTTTAGCATTTCTTCCTTCATTCTGACACTCGTTTGTATCCTATTACTCTGCTGTTTCAAAGCACCTTGTTTGTTTCATCAAACAATGAGCATCTGAAGAGATGGTGTAATAAGAAATCTGCCTTATTATTGCACACTTTGGACCTTTTACAACAGATTACTGAACCCGTCTCAAATTAAAGAAATCCTAGTTCTGTTGTCTGAAATGTATGCACCAGCGACATGCTATCTGATGTGGAAAAACCTGGTACTTAAAGTAGCTTAATGATAGAAAGAGCATGCTGAATCGAAGGCCATAAAGTACACTTGATGCCAAGCCTGCATCAAAGCAACTTCGGGTTTTTTGTTTTTGTTATTTTTTATCCTCTGGGCTTGCTGTATAGTGCACAGTAGCACTACAGAATCGTCATCTGCTAATCAAACTTTTCGTTGTAAAGCCTGGCACGTTGTTTTCCACATATGTTTATATGTAATTCATAGTGTTTATTGTAGCAAAATGAATTTGCATTTGAAAATTTTATACTAAGCAAAAACCAACTGCACACATCTTTTAGTCTTTTTTTTCCCCCTCAGAAGGGCATTGATATAAAATTAAATGTATGCCTATTATTAGGGTGTTAGTGAAGCAGATATATTGTTACCTTTACCAAAAAAGCAAATTTCTGAGTGGGGAAAGCCTTATTCTACCTTTTGTAATTCTGTAATTAGTGAATGCTACATCAAACACTTTTAGAAGTGATGTATCTATGATAAACAAAAGGTTTTGAAGTGTAAACAAATCCTAATCATTTGCAGTTCACAAAAAAAAGAATTAATAGCCAATAGGAAGGTAAATGTACTTGTAATGGAAAGCTGAATGCAGATACTTCATTCTCAACTTTTGTATTCTTGCAGAATAAATCCACTGTTTATTAAATCAGAAATTAACATAGGCTGCAAATTGGGGTGACACTGGTTCTACAAGCAATCACAGTAACACATACAGCAGGATTTTCAAGTGATGCGTATCCTTTTTTTCCTTTTTCCAGATTAGCTCTTCCTTTTAAGCTGGCTATTGAGGAAATGAGTTGCTGAACTATTGCTACACATAGCAAAGCGACCTTTCAGCTAACTTTTTTTTATATTTAATCTGTTCTGTTTAACTTTTGTTTGATCTCATCAGGCTGTTTTCTCTTCTGTATTTTGACTATATATTCTTTACTTTGATACTAGTTTCATAAAGTTATTAAATGTGGCTTGAGTATTTGTTGAAGCTGTTGAAGTCAGTGCTCCCAGGATTTGTTTGGCCCTTTTTTTTTTCCCCTAACCTTTGTGTTTGTTTCTTTTCCCCATTTTTGTTCATATCGCAAAATACGCTGTCAATATCAAAATGTTCTGGTGATAATTAACTGGAAGTGTTTGAAGTGGTGGAACTACTGCCCTCTGATATAAAGATACTAAGATCAGTATATAATGATCTTTCTGCCACAACGTAAGTGTATCCAGTCTATTTAAATAAAAATATTCATGACTCTGGTCCTTAAATACCTCAGGCCTGGTTTCAAGCAGCAACCATCTAGACTCACCTTTCTGAGTGAGGTGCCCAGTGCAAACCAGTTTCTGTGTAAGAATATTAATATTCCGGGCCATGGTTTTTTGCTATCCTAAACCAACCATAATAGTGGTCACCTCATATGCTCTGCTGATATGATTAATCCTCTAGCCATTATATGGACTTTGTTATTTAATATTACTGTAAAACTATAGCAATGTTACTACAGAGCATATCCACAATTCTACATTTTTATCTTCAGGTTCCTCGTATTAATGGCTTATCGTTGATGTGATTAATGCATTAGTATGAAACCTTAAGGAATTACTGTTAATGAAGGGAATCCCATATGATAATGTTGGCTCTCGTTACTGCCCTTCAGAACATGATGGTGAAGGCTGGACTGCAGCTCTCGACGCAAGTTCCTACCATGGACACTGGTGTTCAAAATCAATACTAGAGAATATGCAAAACACAAGTGTTTGCTCTGTGTTCTCAGCATAGGTGCTCTTAAATTTAGTGGGAGTGCTTAGGGTGTTTTTAATGAAGCTGTGTTGGAGGTTTGGTTAATTCTTTTTAATGTAGCAGAGGACTTTGGCTTTCGTAATTGTACCTGCTCAGTGACATTAGAAACTTGAAATAAATGTTCAGTTGCAAGAATATTTCTATTAAAAGGTGATATGATTTCATTCCTCCATCTGTGGAGAAAAACAAAATCATAAAACCAAAACCACATGACCCAGATCCATGGAATGACTGAAGAACTTTAATTATCTGAGCCTCATGTTCAGACCCCCTAGATAATGCACAGGAAGGTTTAAGTGCTTTAGAATGGGATCTGCATCAATCCAAAAAAAAAGTAACGAAAAATCAAAGTAACCCCCTTGGAATACATGTGAAGAGCATTAATAGGCAAAACCAGAAACTGCTTAGGCTAGTGAGCAGGAATTGTTAGAGATGCCGATGTCTGGCTTACACTGTTCCTCACTGGAGCCAAGGCTTCCGACTCCACGGTAGCAAGGGACGCCTTCCTCTGCCCCACATTCCTGGCACTGAGCTCTCCCATCAAGGTAAGCATCCAATCCTTCCTTCCCACGTTTTGGCTCCGCACAGAATACCGGTTTCTTTCAAACCAGGGATGGTGGTTGTATCCCAGGTCTCTCGTTTGCACAGGCATGTTCCCATCTAGTCAGTAGTATGGGCCTGAGGAGAACCAGACCCAAATCCCAGGCTCTTCAGAAGATTCCCTTAAAATTGCTAGTGTATAGGCTGTTTTCAGTGTGTGTGCTCTCCCTCTGCTGTCAAAGCTGTTTGACTGCCAAAGGACTGCCTTTTTAAAGCTCATTCAGAGGGAACATACAAGCAAAAGAGCTGATTCTTCGGGCCAGTGATGGGGAGCTCACCTGGGAAAGGCATCCAGCCTCTTCCACAGACTGTTCGTCGCTGCCATTTGGTCTTTTGAGACAAGAGCTGTAGGAGGAGAGACAGAATATTGTTTATGCACCCTAGTTACATTTTCTTACTGTACTTGTATAAAAGAGAAGGCAACAGCAGTAACCTTATGATAGCCCGTTTGCCTCTGGTTACTGCTGAGCCTTCTAGCTGAAATATGTGAGAAGCCTCGAATGCCTCTTCCTCTGTGATAACAGCTGATTGAGGACAGATCCCATTTGTAGCATCCATCCGCTTCCCGATGGGCAAGGTTTCCACAGACTGCCTGTTAAGTTTTTACATTTAAATTTTGTAGTCATAACTTGAATTACAAGCAAATTTAACAAGCAGCATAAAGGTCTTGTTATCTAAAGCTTCCATGTGTTTTGTGAAAATCGGCAGTCCAAACTTCCAAAAACCAGGAACCAGCCTGAGCAGACTCCATGGGGCAAGGCCCGCTGTGCACTTGCCTCCTACGGGCGTTGGGAACGCACCTGCGAGCGCCGCGCAGGTACCCGACCTGCAGGAGGAGTGCTGGGATTTGGGTCTCATTACGTACCAGAGAATTCACTCTTTAGTCGGGGCTTTTCTCTGTGGATTCTTTTTATTTGTAGTAAAGACTGAAGTCACACTGCAGCCTTAATATAATTCAATTAAAATGTCACTCAACTGCTGGAAATAAACCATCCGGTAGTTTGGATTCGTTAGTTCTTGTGCTCACAGAACTACTGCTCAACACGATCATTATTTTGTACCTATTACCAATGAGTATCATTTGCTCTTTTTTCCCATTCTGTTGCGAGTCTTCCTAGTTCATTGCTAGTCATGTTTGATTTGGTCACCTTGAATCATGTTGTATCATTCACTGATAATCACATCACTGTCTTCTCCCAGATAACTTATGAGCACATTGAATAACACATGCACAGATCCCTGGGTTCACTGCTGTTAATCCTTCTTGCCATGAAAACTGCTCCTTACTGCTTCCAGTTATCAATCTGTGAGTGTTACTCCTTTTTTTTTTTCCCACAAGAAAAGATATTTCTGCTGTAGTAAACCTTACTGCAAACAACTAGCTTGGTTTTTCCTGCAAATGGCATTATCAAACATTTGTTTTACACCCTGCTGTGTACTGGTGCAATTATCTTTCTAGCTGGCTCCCTGTATCTCATATTTTTAATTTTGTTTTACACTTTTGGCATTTTTTCTCAAAGTCTGCTAGTCGTTTTGGTTTGGTTTTGTGTCTTGCAGTAGGTAACTTTGCAGAGTCATGTTCTTTTCTGTTTTCCTCATTTATCATTCCCTTTCACCCCTTAATGTGCTAGTTATTTTGACTTGATTCCTGGTGGGCCTTCTGAAGTCTTTCTAAAATAAAATACGTAGGTGCTCTGAGTATCTAACACATTATCTTCAAATACAGTTTTGATTAGGATCTTATTCTTGTAACTGTGACAATTTCCCTTTAGTATCTTCCTGTTTATGTGGTTTTCTTTTTAAAGATAAATGCTACTATGGAGAATAACTTTAGGTTCAGGTTACTGAGTTCAAATGTGTCCTACTCTACCATGAAATGTGTCTTGACTGTGAATCAGGTACAGCCCCATGGAAAAATAAATTAAGGCTTCGTTTCCCCTGCTGTGACTTCCCAGCTTGCTGTATTAAGAAACAGTCATTTAGGTCATCTAAAAATGTATCTTCTTCTGCACTTCTTGATCAGACATAGTCCATCTGCGAAGGTAACGAGTGTCCCTCATGGCCATGGGGTGTGGGGTTTTTTTGTCTGTTTTCACAGTTTTACTAATCTTCCTTATAATTTCTTAGTTGTGTTTTCAATCAATCATTGGCCTTAATTATTACACTCTTCCTCTTTAGACATAAAATCTCATGTATAGTGAGGGTAGTACTTCTGTTTACAGTTGACTAATTTGTTGCCTTGTAAGCTTTATTCAACATGCAGTCACAGCCCTCATTCACATTACTATCATTAGTATGTATTTTATAGCTTATTACTACAGCACCCTGTGCGTGTTCATGCTTTTTTGGAATTTACCAAGATCCCTGATGTGTCGTCATTTGAAACCTGCCACTTTAATTTCAGACTCCCTTAAAAAAAAAAAAAGTTATTTTAATATGTACATAGAAACATTTTTGGTTTGCTTGGGTCTGTATGTCTGTTTTAGCTGCCATGATTAATTAGGTCTTTTGCTTGTGTAAGGAAAAGTAAGTATTTCCAAAATACAGTGGCAAAAATAAGGGTTTTTTGGATCACAATTATAAACTCATATCTGCAGATGGATGCTATAAATTATGATGATGATCTGATTAAAAAAAAAATCTACAGTTTTTTAGAATTTGTATATAATCTAGGAATTACAGAGCACAACTAGATATTGAAAATGCTTTCATTGTTTTATGATCTTAGAAAAAGTGAATACTAATAAATAGCATGTTGCAGTATCCTACAGTATGTAATGACAAAAAAAGAACTCAGACTCTCACTGTTAGAGTTCCTTGTCAAGTTGTTTAATCTATTTTAAGTTCTGGCTTAGCAGCATTGTGTAGTCAGATATAAAGAGGTTTTCTGCATATGCACCAACAGCATTAATGAACTCTTAGAAGACACTCTAGCAGATACAACATACTCCTTTCATCTTACGGGCAATTTCAAAGCAAATGTGCAGTTTAGCCCTCTGGATGTTATTTTGATAGCTACAGAATTCTCTCACTGTGCTCTGTATTTTTAGATGTTTTCATATATATTTTTTTCAGACTGACTGCTTTTTTTATTATTATTTGTTCCTCATCGTTAAGCACACTCAGTACTTATCAAGTAGAAATGCGATATTCAATGTAAGTAGTTTCTGATACCCTTTGAGAATTCCTAGTTTTGCTTTTTGAACCCCCCTAGCTCCGTTAGCCTTTGTCCAGCTCCCATACTCCTAGACTCAAACCAATTCCTTTCATCCTGTGAAAATATCTTGGCTCTTCAAGATAAATCACAGTGGTGTTCCATGATCTGATGCCCCTACCTTCTACCAGTAGAAAAATACTACAAATAGGTATAAAGCTATAATTAAAGATATAATTGTAAGCCCAAAGGAGTTACAGTAACACAACCGGATTCCATGGCCTGGGGACTCTTTGATGGCTGCTTTAGGACTCGCTGGGTTCAGCCCCTATAGAGTAGGGCAACACCAACTGCCCTGTGCTCAAGTGATGCCCCCTGTACGGTGTTAAGAGGTGCCTTTATATCACCCTGGAGTAACATCATTGCCCATAAGGAGGCTGAATCCTTAGGAGACCAATTAAACTAATTTCATGGCACCTATGCACTGCTGGGTTGGTGAAAAGGAGCTGTTCACAGCAGGGTAAGGATGAAGCTCATAAATGAAAAGCACGGGCAAAAAAAAAGACGAAGTAGTATAAAAGAAATACAATGGAAATTAAAAATCGTCAAAAAGTTGCCCTAAACAATAAATTGTTGTTATGAAAATATAATTAACTTAGGTGTGATCTTTTTCATTTAATTTTTTTGCTTCTGATGGATTC